AAAAAAAAAAAGAAAACTGCCAGAGATGGGGAGGGAGACAGACAACTGAACAGTAAGAGTGGACACACCAATACCACACTTGCAATAATTGGTAAAATAACCAGCAAGAAGATCAACAGAGAAATAGAAGATTTCAATAACACTACAAAAATCAGACCTAACAAGGATCAATCGAACACTACGCCCTACATAAGCAGAATTCTCAAGTAAATCCAGAACAATCAATATAATAGACCATATGTTCACACATAAAACAAGCCTTAATACATTTGAAAAGGCTGAAATACAAAGTATATTCTCCAATAACAATGAAATTAAATAAGAAATCAATAAAAGAAGGAAATCTGAGAAATTCACAAATATGCGAAAATTAAGTACAGCATACCCTTAAATGACTAATGACTCATAAAATAAATCACAACAAAAACTTAAAAATATATATCCAATGTCAAACATTTATCCAAACATGGGCAGGTTAAAAGAATGCAAAGCTGTTCTGACAGTAAAGTTAAAACTGAGAGAAAAATAATACTTATCTTGATGTGAGAATTTAATGACATAAAGTTTGTTAGACTGAGATACGCTAAAAGTATTAATCATATTCATATTATCAGTTTTTTCCTTCTTGTGTGACAGGGTCTCACTCTATCATGTACAGTGGTTTGATCACAGCTCACTACAATTTCCAGCTCCTAGGCTCAAGCAATCCTCCAGGCTCAGCCTCCTAGCAGTCCTATCAACATAGACCACCAGGCCAAGCTAATTTTGGTTTTTTTTTTTTTTTTTTTCAGACAAGAGTCTCACTCTGTCACCCTGGGTAGACTGCTGTTGGGTCACAGCTCACTAGCTCACTGTAACCTCAACCTCCTGGGCTCAAGTGATTCTCTTGCCTCATACTTCTTAAATAGCTGGGACTACAGGTCCCCAGCTATGTTGCCCTGGCTAAACTGAACTATTGGAATCAAGTAATCCTCCAGCCTTGGCCTCCCAAAGTGCTAAGATTACAAGTATGAGCCACTACATCTAGCCATTATCATTGATTTTGATTCCTAGCTAGGAACTATTAACTATTCTGTTTGTGAGCACCCAGAATATCAAAAAAAAGTTCCAGGCTCGGCGCCTGTGGCTCAAGCGGCTAAGGCGCCAGCCACAGACACCTAAGGTGGCGGGTTCGAATCCCCAGCCCGGGCCCGCCAAACAACAATGATGGCTGCA